GCAGGTCTCCACATGGTAAGCATGTTATTCAGATATACCAGTGAAAGGCATGTTGTGGGGAGAAACTATTTTGCTGACTCAGTGAAAACCATTTTGGCTGCTCATTTACAAACTATATGAAAAAACACTCTTCTTCTGTGATCGAGTTAAGTTTAGAATCATATATTTCAGAAAGTCAAATATAAATATTTACCATACTTAACCCAATCCGGAATCTGTTTGAATATTTTTTCCCTTTCCATGCTGCAGAGCAAACCTCAAATTCTTGAAAACCGGCAGAACAAAATCTACACCCAAACTTTGTTGGGTGTAGATTTTATCAGAGAAGGTGGTGGACATTTTAAACTTACACTCACTTAAACTGACTTCTTATTTTCTCCTCAGCTTCTGCATCAGTTAATAGTGGAAATCTAATTTTTGTATCACCTATCAGGGGAGATTAAAAAACAAAACAAAAACAAAAAGTCAACTGTAAAAAAACAACAACTATTAGATTCTCATAAATATTACTGTGTCGTACTTTCTGTATATTAGGTGACTGTTGAGTCTGTAATTTCAGTGATATCTAAAATTGGTTCAACTGACTTAAACTCTTGCCTTGAACATCTCACATGTGTTTCACCAAGATTTTTGCTCCTGTTCAAAACCTTATGCTCATCCCCAAAATGTTGCATGAAAACCTTCTGCGTAAAACTGATATCAGACCACCACCTCTTTCTTCTAGCTCCTCCATGGTTATCAACCTGCCTCTGTGTGCTCCCAACAAAGATGCCATAACCGACAACACAACACTGCGTTTGTGGTTTGATTCATATATGTATAACAGCAACAATCAAACATCAAAACTGGGCAAGAACAAAGATCAAATAAAACATAAACAGATCACCAAGGATGAGAAAATAAAGGTGATTTGTAACAAAAACAAAATGTAGGAGAAAACAAAATACTTGATATAGAAAGGCTTGTATTAAAGGTTAAATGGCAGAAAACACTTAAATGTTTATTTAAAAATTAGTCAAAACCTTTACATGACACCTAGCGCAGTACATTTTTATTTAGATTAACCATAAAATTCCTGAGCAGTCAATTCAATTCAATTTTATTTATATAAATGAATAGGATTAGGCTGCTCAGGGCTGCCCATGGTGCCCGAGTGTTTCTTCTTCACTCACCTCTTTTCGCGCTGTGTGTTTATACTACACCACTATCACATTTTATAGAATTTAATTCTGGCACTCTCTGCTTTCCTCCCCCTCCACTCACCTCCAACTGGTTGCAGCAGATAGCCGCCCCTCCCCTTTCTGCTAAAAGGTTGCTTTTCCTCAAAATTGGGGACTTTAAAAAAGCCAATGTGAGCCAGGAGCTTTCAAATATAAACAGTATACTCGACCAGAGAGGAGAGGACATTAGATCACAGTTACAGCACGATTAGCGAAGCCTATCACCCTGTGCCGTGTGCTGCACTCGGACTTTCTGACTTTCATGATCATTCTGATGCACGCGTACAGAGGCTGAAGCTCTCCAAACCTGTTGTGAGGACTAAAAAAACTGGAGTAACGAGGCTGTGGAGGAGAGACGCACGGCTTGGAATCTACAGACTGGGACACATTGAGGGCTACTTCTAAAGGCTGGGATGAGTTTACGACACTGTCACCTCCTATATCCACTTCTGCAAGGACAGCATTGTGCCAGGGTGAGTTTTAATAATGGCAAATCCTGGTCCTCCTCTGCGCTTCTCCCTGTACACTAACTGCTGCACCTCCAGCCACCAGTTTGTCAAGCTGATTAAGTTTGCAGATGACACCACCGTTATTGGACTCATCTTGGACGGGGATGAGTCCGTCTACAGGATGGAGGCTGAACGTCTGGTGTCCTGGTGCAGCCGCAACAACCTGGTGCCGAACGCCCAGAAGACAGTGTAGATTTATTGAGGACTTTAGGAAGCACACATACCTATTCTTTGCAACTTTACTTCAGGGTTCCACATGATGTCCAGCTCCTGCCCAGTCCAGACGATGACATCTTTGGTTTTTGGCTTCAGTGAAAGCTGGTCACTTTCCTGATTGAGGGAGATTTCCTCTTGTTCATCTTTAGTCTGTGGAGACTCTGGGTCCTGCTGGTCCAGACTGGAGCTCCTCTTCTGGTCACAGACCTGCTGGTTATCCAGAACTTCATCTTCAACACAAGAACACAAGAAAATAGTGACTAATGTTATGACAAGAAAATGTCAACATAGTCAATATTCTGACCCCGAGTCTCCCTAAGCTTTAGCAACTTGACCTTTTTCTCATATTTAACAAACCAAACATTTCATATTCTGCTTGCTTGTAAGTGAAGAGAGAGTCAATGTAATGGATGTCTGATGGGAAGGAGTTCCAGAGATCTCAAGAAGAATCTCTTGGGAACGCCGCATTGGAAATGAGAATTCTTGGGAATTTACATTTTATGACTTGGTTGAACCGACAGGAGCCAGAGAGAAAATATTTAAACCAGTTTAAGAGTTTGTCAGTGATTCTAACAGAGGCTAAACTGTCAAGAAGGTGTTAG